TCAGTCTCAGGCTACACTAATATGGGTCATAACTAAAACTGGTTGTGCCACCACTGCCAACAACTTCAATCAAGTATTTGTAATAACTAAGAGCTACAAATGAGAGAAAGAGGAAATATGAAGAAAATTATGTCATGAATGAATGAAAAATAGTTTGGTCTTCAGAGTATTCAAGGTGTCCCAAAGTTTTCCACTCGAAATTTGATTAGTCTAGCACCGTGAGTGCACAGAACACGTAGTCATTTTAATTTGGCTCAAAGAAAAACCTTGCAGAACGTCTTGAGAGCATTTTTGATATTTTCCCCCACCCCCTCAATACAATTACTGCCAGTGTAAATAAAAGGTAAGGTGTACTTTATTTTAATCAGCCATTATGGTACCAAGTGCTGAGGAAATGAAGTGTTTCAGGTTCTTCTGCACTCCCACAGTGACAAAATAAAAATACAGATTAATAGTAGTTAAGTATAACCTAACGGGAAACCATAATTTCTTCACCTGAACCAAGTTTATTTAGGTACATTTAGTTTACTTTTTTATTTTTTTAAACAAATTTACCCCTCTCTCCCCCCCCAACTTCAGAAACATACATCAATATTTAAAAAGTGAAATATTAACTCAGAAATACTAACATTAAACAACAATAGCCAAGATTGCATAACACAGATTGACTGATCAAGGCAAAACAGATAAAACTGCAACATTTGTTGCCATGGTAACATTTAGTTCAGGCAGTTGTTAGCTAAACAATATGCATCAAAGGACACATACTAGCTTTGTGTCAGTCAGGGTAAAATTCCAAAATAGGATTTTAAGGTGATTTCTTGATCATCTTAAATATTCCGTGGAACACAGCATCAAGCAGCACAATCCACAACATCACTGCTTACGTTATTGCTACTAAGCTGATCATGAGCTTCTTGGAGTCTTTGTTTCTGGACACTATGACGAACTCCATAGCCAAAGTATACAATCAGACCTGAGAAAAGGGGATAGCATGCCATGAACTTACTGTCTTTATTCCTTAATACATCTATATGCTCTCTACAATGATGCAAACCTGGAAGAATAAAAGCATTTGATAGCAATCCTAGTTACCTGAAATGGCTGAAAATGCACGCTCTTACCAATTGCCATCCAAACAGCATAGCTGACCCAGGTTTCTCCTTCCAGTTGAACCATAAAGTAGGTATTAATGAAGACACTTAAAACTGGAATTACAGGTACACAGGGAACCTGCAGAAGGATATAAACCCATAACTGATTTATGTATGTCATTTTGACTTTAGAAGTTACACTTTTTCATTGTTTTTCCTAAGTAAAATGCCAAGTGTTTTCTTTTTGAAGCTGGGACAGACAGTACCAGTACTCTCCTTACTATTCCTTCTTTTTGGAGTTTAACAAGAAGAAAAAAAAATGTCAGCCAGCATTTGCCCACTGGTTGCCCTCCCTTTAGTAAACATGCCTTACATTTATTTGCTATAAACTTTCTGTGCCCTACAACAGACCCTTAGTGAGGCCCAGCAACTGACCCCCAAATAAGCTGTATTCAATGAAAATCAATAGAAGCAGACTTTCAAGAAGCATGAAATCCTACATTTGGAACCAAGCGCCCAACACCATCAGCTTTACCATGAAAGAAGCTTTAGTCCTGCTCTGTGGCTGCCTCCAGATGATAACAACGGCAAGGACCAATGTCAGCACGAGGACAGAGACGAGGAGCACGCTCCATAGTTCCCATCTGCTGAGTGAGTACAAGGCCTCAGACAGGAGCACGGTTAAAACGATTACCAGGAACACTGGGGAGAGGTCGGAGCTGTCAGAAAACATTAATACTAGAATTTTGTTTCATTTCTGCATTCTTAATAGCAAAAATATTTTTAATGAATAGTGTTAGCAGTATCTGCTCAAGATACAAAGTATCAAAGTGAAGCAGCTGTCAGGAGCCTCAGCAAATCAGGTGGTGTGTGTGTGTGTGTGTGTGGGGGGGTGATAAAGGATGACTCACAGATAATGATGGTGAGAATGGTGACATTTTTAGAGGTGCGGTGGGTAGCTCGAAATGGAGGCCTGAGCACATCCCTTATTGAGAA